ATGGGTTAGGTGACTAACGCTACTGTATTCATAAATTAACCAAAATGAAAAAAAGGAAAAGTGGAATAAGACAAAAAAATATATATACATATCAGAGTAAGAAAATAAAACTTACTAATGTACAAACACAGTAACAAGGAAATAAGAAAATAAAACTTAAAGAACTTGATGTGCAAACACTATTTTCTCCTTTTGCTATGCAACTTTCAATTTTGTTTTTCTCTCTCCAAAATTTGTAACTTTCAATTTCTGTTCTCTCCTTTGGTTCTACAACTTTCCATTTTGTTTTCAAAATCTACAACATTTAATTTCTGTTTTCTCCTCCTGTTCTACAACTTTCAATTTTTGTTCTCTCCTCTCGTTCTATAACCTTCAATTCTTTTTGTTCCACCACTTTCCTCCTCCTTTTAAGGGCTCCCTTCCCTCACCTCCTTTGTTATTTTTTATCTCTTCTCCGAATCCCTTTTCATTTGCACCAACATGTAATTCTCATTTATTGTAAATTTATCCTCGATTAGATATCTTTAGCTACAGGAGCAAGTGATTTACGGGTGTATCCAGATATATAGCACTGACCTGTCCAAATTTTGCAATTATCTACAGTTCATAAGCCATACATGTCTTACTGCTACCATATATCTTGATATGTCAAATTCTTAGAAGATCATTCTCAATACATTGTATTATACAAATCTTTAGTTTGTAATTTTGAAGGGTTATTGCTCTTTAGTAGGTAATTTTCTTGTTCTGCATCTTTTAGTAAAATTAAGAATTTTTTGAAGCATTGTCATATATAATGACTTAAAAAGTCAGATTAAGCTTGTAAAATACTAATAATAATAGTAAAATAAATAAATAAGTAAATAATAAGTTAACTTTGAATGTATATTTTATGTTAAAAAAATATTTTAGTTAAAGAATATTCATGAATAAAAATTAATTTTGATTAGCAGAAAATAATAAATAAAATAAAATTATTTGAATTATAAAGGTAGTCTGATAATATAAAGGAGAAATAATAGAATACTAGATAATATATATAAATATAAATATAAAAATAAAAATTTGACTATCTTTACCTTTTTATTTAAAATTTAAATTTAAAGAAAATTATATATATATATATATATATATATATATGTGTGTGTGTGTGTGTATGTGTGTGAAAAATTCAGATAAAATTAAGTATTCATAGTATTAAACTCTTAAAGCAAAATATAGGTTATAGATCGGTAAGTCTTCAATAGTTGGGTAAAAAAAAACCTAATATTTAAAAAGACATAACTCAAATGTTTTGGAATGGAAAATTAGGAATATGATGTCTACAAAAATATGATAAAAAGTTGGGTTCCTATAATTGAGAATTTTAGCATCTATGTTGTTTGTCCTTATAGATTTATCCTTTTTTAATCTTTTTTCCCTCCTCTCATCCTCATGTTTTTTTATTTATATAACTATTATTACTTCACTTAATCTTAAGACTGAGTGATGTTTTAACGTGGTCTTTAACAACAAATAATGAGTTTCCTATTAAATTAGGTTGAAAGTGACATAATCATCCAAAATTAAATTGTTTTTTATGAAAAATTGCTCATAGTAAATTATTAATAAATAGAAAAATATTTCATAATGTATATGTTTAAGACTTGTGTCTCAATATGTTACACTTAAATATACCGTGCATGTGTTAAAAGGTTGTTTGTATGAATCTAAAGCCTTGGATCATTTAATTTTTCAAGCTTAATGGTGTAGATTTTTTAGTTCTAGTTTTAGTAATTGGTTTAGGTTCAATCTAGTTTATAATACAACTAGTAACCTTAATAATTGGAATTTAATTTTTGGAATAATAGTTCAGAAATTTTGGACTTACGAAAACTCTTTTACACTTGGCAAAAAATTTGTATGTGCTTATAATGACCGGAGCTGAGTTATCTCTATTTTACTAATGTCTTTGGTGAAACTAATAATTATACTGATACATTAGCTTACATGACTCGCAAAAGACCTTTTGATTGTAAAACTTTAAATAAAGTTCATCCTTTTTATTTTCTCACATCAGGCAAGATGTTACGGGATTTAGCATTCTTAGGCCTTATAGCTAATGTTATTTTTCTTGGATCGTAAATTATGTTGATTAGTTAAAAAAACAAAATTAAGTTCTTAAATAAAAAAATTAGATCAATTAAAATTTAATATTTTTATAATCCTAATAAGTTTTAGTCTAATTCTTCAATTTTAAATTTTGACACCATATTAAAATAAATAATTTATTTATTCACAACTAACAAAATATTTTCATTTTAAATGATTAAACTAAAAAATGTTTATCATCCTGTTTAATTATATCTAGTTATAAATATTTCTCCGCGTATAGATTGTTAAACTTTTCAAGAAAATGCATTTGTGTTTCATATTTTTTTAGTTTTTAATTTAATTATTCAGAGAGAGATAATGATAAAAAAAAACAAGTGATAATGTGGATATTTTATTATTTCATCTTTGTTTATTTGTTTGTTTAATATAGTATATTAACCTGTTAAAAATAATTAAGCAGCGACTAAGTCATTTTCTTTTGTGAATACTAAACCAGGTCTTAACTATAGAGCAACATGTTTGAGTGTGCATATATTATTATTTTTTTATAACTTCTATATATTAAGGTTAAAATCATATTATTATTTTTCTGGTTTATAAAAAAATGAAGAAAAAAATGTTTCACTTAAATAAAATGCAAACAATAAATCCGACTCCTGTTATATATAGATATATATGTATTCATTATATACAAATACTCATATTGAAGAATATATCTACGTAAAAACAGGTTTACATCCAAGTCTTTTTTTTAAAAAAAGTAGGTTTGGATGCAGATACTCACGAAGTACGTTACGCATTGTTGTCAGTATTTATAGCGTACTGTTTTTGTTATCTAGGAGTTCAATATTGAGGTATAACAGTAGGTATGCAATTAATATAACTTGAGTTAAGTAAGATTATGAGTGATAAAATCATTTCTATCAAATTTTAATTTTCTTATATTTTAAGGGATTCACATGATTCATCGACTTCCACATAAAATTTATATAATAATAAAGAAAATATTAAAAACATGTTAATGGGAACAAAAAGATCACGTTAGTACGTGAGTCCCTTAAAACTAGCCATGTAGTTCATTAATTTTAGTCAACTTCTGTCAATAGTTGAATGGGCAAGAGTCCAGATGCAAAAACCTAAAATGGAAGGGCTACAATAACCTTTTTAGGTCTGCAGCCCATACCAACGATCACACTAGTCAATTTCTATTCTTTTAAATACACTAATAGCCCATTTTTGGCCCAGCTTAAGCCCAGAAACTCTTGCATTTGATATAAACTAGAAAAGGGATTTCATTTGCATTGGAATTTTAAAGAATGGGGCGATCGAAAAGAAAATCTTTATGGTTCTGATACACCTTTGCTTTAGGTTTGGTCCTGCGATCCTATTTGTATGCTTATTTGTGGTTATCTGCTGTTTAGCTCCTTGGGCTTAGTTCCCTATTGTATAGCCTTTGGCTCTTTATAAAAATAACAATTCTATGACGCGCGCGTATGTCAAAAACAGTGTCTAAAATCAACTGACGTAAATGAGTGTCCACGCATTCTCGAGTGCTTGATACATTAAAGGATAAGATTTATAAGTAATTTCTTGGAAATTTTAATACTACATTTTAATCAAATTAAATTTTTATTTTAATAATGATTTATTATCTACATCATTAAAGTATAATTTTATTTTTAGTTGGAAAATGATATTAAAATTATATCTAACTTTTGTGTTATGATTGACCAGATAATTTAAAAAAAAAACGAATAACCAGAGAAAATTTTCAAACGATGATGCAGATTGGGCCTTCACAATATTTCTCATAACTCTTACCCAATGCTTGCTGTAAAAATTCACTGTAGTTATAACTTAATAATTTGTATCGCAGTATAATTTTCTTGAGAATGTCATATACATCGTAGCAGTCTGCATAATGATAATAAAAAAAAAAAAACTTATTCCTTGAACATAAATAATCCCACGAATGTAAAATGTAAACTGAATATAAAACTAATTAATCTTTTTAGTCACAGTGTTTATTTATAGAAAATAAAGGAAAATAAATTTTATTTTATTTTCTGCTAATCTCTTTTTTGACTTTCTCAATTTAAAATTTAAAATTGTAGAAGACTCTTGGTTAAGTGCATGAATTCGCTGAGTACATAAAAATAAGGAGAGTGATTCATATTTTGTATTCCCGCGTTTCAGCCTAAGCCACTCTGCCAAAAGTTAAGAAACTGTCGAAAGCAACAGATAATTAAAAGCAAATGCACTTTCCTTGTGATCGTAGCAAATAGAAGCAGGCGAGGGGCATGAGTGAGCACAGCGACAATCATGAAATTCCATTAGCTAGGAGAAACAAGACGATACACACAAAATATCCTCTGCAACTTTATGAGAGCATAAAACCAAACAACATGGGTGGGGCTCGGGGCCCAATTCCATGATGACATTCATACCAATCTTGGAGAACCCATTAATGAATGGAATGAAAGCACATTTGATTCACCCAAAAGACTAAAAGCACACTTGACCATCTTACTTTCGGTGTAGGTTGAATATCTATTCTAGAGCTCAATGGTATCATCACTAAAATTTGAGATTTAGCTCACGTGAGAGACGTGATAATGTAGAATTTTATTTTTTTAATTTAAAATTGATTATGTTGTATAAAGTTAACAGGTACTCACTTTGTACATCTTTATTTCTTTAAAAGAGCTCTGAAATTAATAGACAAGTCCAGCAATTGATATTAAAAAAAAGATAGAAATGTCAATCCAATATTTGTATAATTTTATGGAGTTAACAACATTTGTTTGTTATGCTCTTTTTGTTTTTGCTTTGTTAATTCAGCTTTTAGGATTGACTTTTAAGTATCCAAAATAAAATGTTTTTATTGAAAAAGTAACACATCCATTGTATTAAAATTATAAAAGTGCAACAAATATCTTTTAATTAATTTTATTATTATTATTATTTATCAGAAGCAACTTAATCCTGTCTCGTTCCCTTTCCACGACAGCCATGCTGTGCTTCAAAATTGGGTCTTTTATTGCCAATATCGCATTGACATTCGCATTCAATTAGTTTAATAAGGTCAAATATAAAACTGTCAAATATAAAACTGTCAAAATGATCATAACTTTCTACTAAGTAAAGCAACTGTTTGATGTATCACGCTTGCTAAAAAAAATCTAAATTTAGAGGGTGAGAAAATCAATGTCCAGATGAATTCACTTTGACAACTAGCAAGTCAAATAAACATACATTGCTGCCCTTTTGGCCAGACAATATTATTAGTCCATCCACGATAAGCAGTAGAAGCAAAATCAGTTTCGAACAGGAGGTTAACTTTTGAACTAGTACTACAATCTTTTAACAGGTAAAATCTACATAATCTTTTTTCTTTTTAACATGTATGAAGTTGAGTTTTGACAAATTGTATTTAAATTTCACAAAAAATTATGTTGTTACTCTTTGAACATCTTACCCTACATGAGTCGGGTGACACGCAGATTAGTCAATGTCTAAGTTGCTAAATATCACTGCATCTTAAGTAAATTAATAAAATCAAGACATTATATTAATACTTATTTAATTTTTTATACACAATTTTATTAATTCATACAGAATAAAATTATTCAACTCATGAAATAAGTCAGAGAAACCTTATATAATTCAATGCAGTCGTTAAAAAAAACAAGAATGAAGTGTCCATTTCTTACAACGGGAAGCATATGAGATGATTCCACAGAACAGTCACTTTACGAACCGAAACTCGAGCCACGAGCCTAGGCCCACTTAGCTTGTAGGGTAAAAGAAACCAGGCCGGAAGAAGAATAGGAAATACTGAGCAAGAAAAAGGAAGAAGAATAGGAGATCAAATAAATAAGGAACCCACACCCACTAGCCATAATTATGGGAAGCACTAAATTCACGTTAACCCCTCATCACTTTATGGCTGTAAATTTTAATTTATGTTCACACTTTGTCCAACATCATGATGCACAAAAGTACCGTTAAAAATAAAAAATAATTTGTTTCGTTCTAAACAATGATAATGATGCTGAACCATCTTAAAAAAATAATCCTATTCCAAAGCTAACGAAGGGATAGATAGCCATATTCTAAAACGCGACCAAATGAGGTTGACTACTTGACATTGGACTAACAAGCGAGTTACAGTAGAACAACCAAGTTATTATGTCAAAGACAAGTCCCAATCCGTGTGGCTGTGTACTGCCGTTGGTGTCCCCCACCGCCTCAACTCAGCAAAGCACTTCACCCCGATAATGTGAGAAAAACGCGGCACTTTTCTGCATATAAAAAAATTAAAAAGAAAAAAAATGGCACAGCTGTTTGTGTTTATATTTATATACGTTAGGTAAATATCAATGAATTAAAATTAAAAAACACTATTAATATTGTCTTATTGTATTTTTTAATAAATTTTAATATTTATAGATTATTTCAATATCCAGTACGCACTAATTAGTAAGACTATTTTAGCATACTGTGCCAGACAAGTTTGCAGTTGAACGGTGCTGCGCTTCATGGAGCAGTACCGCACCCACTAACCTACCCTACATCCCGCGAAGTGCCAACCAAAGCCAACCCTCCGAATGATGGTAGAATAACGAAAATCAAGGAAATTGCGTTGCCATTCCAGGTATCACTAGAAGAAGTAAATTAAAGCTGCACAACATCTGCACCACTGATGAAATTGTTTTTGAATTTTGATTTATACGCTGCTAACCGTGTTCAATAATAATAATAATAATAGAGCCAATAAGAATGGGGTGGAGGAGAAAAATCAAAACAGTTAATAATAGTTATGAAAAAATAAAAATATAATATAAAATATATCCCCCGTGATCGATAAAAGACAATGATCTGAACGACCCATAAGTACGAAGAAAACAGGGGTAGCCCACACCTCACTTTTATCAAAAAAAAAAAAAAAAGGTACCTGGTACGGGTACTATTTTTTTTTTTCAGCCGAACCATCAGCGATCAAGTTCAATCAAAGATACCTTGGATTTGGAATATTGAATTGAAGTTTATGATTAAGCATCAATAATCAGGCATAAGGTGACTGATTTTGCCTTCTTCAAGCGCCATCTTCCTCTCTGTAATTTTCAACCAAATACAAACCCCTGTAAAACTGAGCACCAAACTGGCCAGTCCACTTCCCAATCCAATCCCTACAATGGCCAAAACTGACAAACCTTTACTCCTCAGCGGAGGCAAAGGGTACCCATAAAGATCCTTATTCCCCTCGAAGGAGCTGGCGTTGAACCGAGGTAAGTTACCGCTCCGGTTGGACAAGGAAGCCGGGATCGGGCCGGAAAGGTGGTTATTGGACACGTCAAAGGCAGAGAGGCGAACAAGAAGGCCCAATTGCTGAGGGATAGGGCCAGTAAGCAAATTCTGGTGAAGGTCGATGATGTTGAGATAAGCACACAATGTGAGCTGTGGAGGAATCTCTCCTTGAAGGCGATTGGATGAGAGGTTCAACACGGCGAGGTTGACGAGCGACTGCAGGTCAGGGGGTATTGGACCGGTGAGGAAGTTGGAGGAGAGGTCGAGGGCTTGGAGGTTGGTACAGTTTGCGAGGAAGGGGGATATGGTGCCACGTAGCGAGAGGTTGTTGAGAGAGAGCTTGTAGATGCGGCCATTGTTGCAGATGGCGCCCTGGAGGTTGGAGATGGAATCGTTGCAGGGTTTTGCAAAGCTCTCTTCCTTCCAGTTACGTAGCAGCTTGTTTGGGTCTTCTAACGACTTGCTGAGGTGCGTCAGGCATGCCTCGTCGCTTGGATCTGATAAAGTGACAGCAATCAAAGCGCTTGTTGTTATAACCCACCACAGTAGCAGCACGGTCCCAACATCCATCTATTGCTAAACAACCTCGCGGTTCCAATTCCGATGATCGTTTAGTTTCTTTAATACGCAAGGAGGTTGTGATGTTGGATGGGGAAGATGGAAGGAAGGTGATTGGGATTGGGATTGGGATTCATCCAAAGCCAAGTAACTAACTTGAAAACTGGGGAAAAGGATCTATTTAACGGTTCTCTATGGGTGAAGGTGTCCCGAAAACAACACGGAAAAGTCGAGAAAGCGAGAGATGTCGGACTATGTTGTTGTGTTATGTTAAGCCAAAGTGAGTGAGAGAGAATGAACTAAGAAGGGAAGGGAGACTCTTTGAAAAAATGGTCTTCACTCTTCAATCTTTTGTTTTGTTGGCTGGCTTACCTAGCTAGCTAGTTGGTTACTTTGTTTGGTTTTATATTCAATTGTTAATCAACGAATTCAATATTATTTTAATAATATTATTAAACTTTGGATTTTCGGGTTTGGTTGGGGATATGGATGTGGCTCGGGTTGTGGGGGAAGAGAGTGTAGACACGAGAGCGCGCATGCGGACGGTGAAGCCGTTGATGGAAGCAGAGAGAGAGTTTGAGTGGGCCATTTAGAATTGGAGTTTGTGGGGAGCGATGACCTGCAAATATGAGGCTAAGACAGCGACCATACGCCAAGGACATTTTTGACTTTTTACTACCTTTTCTATTTCCACACCATTCTAATTTCTACGCTACTAACTGCGCTTCTTCTACATCTGTGACCAGTTATCATTTACACCTCCAAGAAAAACAAGTACTCTGCTTTCCTTTCTCTCCTTTTCCTTATTAATAATAATAAAATAATACCCCACTTAGTGCTTTCTTTATCGTCTAAAAGTTATTACTAAATAGCCATCTGTTTATTTTCCAAATAAACAAAAGCTATCATTTTAGAATTTTATAATTGATATTGAATTCTTTTTTTTATCCCAAAAGTTTGAATCCGTGACGACGAATAACACTAGCTGAGGCTCTGCTTCACCAGTAGTCTGTAGGTTTTGCGTCAAAACAGTGATTGCAGCAATGAAAATCATTTTAAATTTTAATTAACGATGATTTTTTTCAAGTATTGAGGCGTTCTTTTACTTGAGAATATAATTAAAATATAAATTAGGAAGAAAATAACAAAGTTTTTAAAAAATATGTAAGTTAAATTAACTTAATATATATTACAAAATGTCTTTGTTTTCGAGAGTGTTCATTTTTACTTTGTTATGTAAATATAAATGAAAAGTTTGGTTAATTTTTTAATTAAATAAATCAATTTTAATTAATTTCTAAACCAAAAATTTGACAATTTCAATAGCAATAGTTGTTTATGATTGTAAAAATTATAAATTTGTTTAACTTAAACTTATCACATATATCTTTTTCTAGTGAAAATGTTTTTTTTCTCTTTCTAAAGATGGAAGCTTAAAACCCAACAAATACAAACCTATACAATAGGCCTAAAAAAATAGAATTACAAAACATCAAACTCAAAAATGAAAAAAAAGAAAGAAGAGTGGTAAAAAAACTGATAAAAGAGATAAAAAAAAATAAAAATCTAAACCTAGTTTGGTATGGCATGAAAATTAGTATGAGAATTCACTTCTCCATAAACATGAGAAAGCTTAATAAATCTAATAACTTTTAAAGCTTTTTTAGTGACAAACATTTCAACCTTATAATATTTATAACATACATTATATGTTTTAGTAAACCTTTTTTTTAACACTTAAATATTATTTTTTGTTCCAATTATAAAACTCTTTCGAATAATTTATCGTAACCTTTTCAATCAGACATCTCATAAATTGTTTGTTGTATTGATAAATATTTTTTTAAAAATATCTTGAGTAGAGATAAACAAAACACAATTAAATAGAAGTAGAGTAAGCTAATACCAATATATTTCAATAGTTTTAAGTATAATTTTAGAAAAAAAAAAGATATTAAATTATTGATAAATTTAATGCCACTAACAAGTTGGCTATACTTTTTTATTCCTGTAAAACACTACTTTTATTCTTAATTATATGTTTACAATAAAAAAAATATTTTTTATTTGTCTAAGTATAGATTTAAAATAAAATTAATTGTTCTTTTACTAATGCAATTTTTTCATTTATTTTCCTAAGTAAAAATCTAAAGTAAAATCAATTATTCTTTTACCAATGCACTTTTTCATGTAAAATATTTATACTGTTTGAATAATTATTTTTTTTGTTAATAATCGATCAATTAGAAAAATAATATAAAAATAATTATAAAAGTCTTAAACTTAGGATAGCACATAGTGTTATCAAGGAAAATTTAATTATTTACTACTTGGATGATGTTCATCCATTCATTAATCCTTACCTGAGTATTTTAATTGTGTTTTAATTTTATCATTGACCTAATGCTAATTAGTCAGGACTTATTTTTAAACATAATTTAATTAAAACATATTGATAGCATAAAAATATATTATTAACTAATTAGAAATTAATATATCAACAATAATATTTGTCTTTTTTAATTATTATTTTAAAAGCAGTACTTACTATTTATTTTTATTTGGTTGGCAGTTAAAATAATTTACACTAAAAAATTCTTTTAAAAAATATTTAAATGTTAGTTATATTTAACATCTATTATTCCTCATCCGGTACTGGTAATATCCGTATATGCTACCGAATCATTTGCATGTTATTTATCATTAGGCCTGCTGGCGATCAATCAATGCATTGAACTAACTAATCAAAACTATATCTGGCATTGTCCACTCTTTCACTTGTTCATAGGATGAAAAAAGGGGAAATAATAGCGTGGGATTGCGCCTAACCCCCCTTTTTTTCCCCATAAATGCAGCAAATGAAAACGAAAAGGTAATTAAAAAAAGCAAAGGTGAATAAAAAAATACCCAAATGAAATTACAATTATCTACTGGAATATTATAAAATAGAGGGTTTTTTTGTTTTTCTTACATTGAAAGTAAGAATGTTTCCTACAAATTTTAACAGTTATTTAATACATTTGGTATAATTTTTTTTCTTCCAAATCTTCGATTTTTTTATGTCAATCTTTTAAATTTAAAACTCTAAGAATACCTTTTTTTAAAAAACAAAAATTGTACATATTTAAAATATTGACAACTTATGTTCATGCTAATAAATTGATTTGATTTGATTTTAATTTGTACATAAATTTAAAGAATCCGTGGATGGAAAATAACGAGCACGGGGCGTGCAACTGATCCCGGCACTCAAATGAATACATGATGGTCCTCTAGAGAATAGAGATGATGGCATATTGATTGTGGATGTCGTCTAGACAGAAAACCAGCACCATCTTAACACCGCAACTTAAACCCTGTTGGTCAATCAAAATTTGTGAATGCATCCAAAATTTCCTTCAGATTTTGTTTTTTAAAGAGTGCGCACGCGTGTGTATATATATAATACATACAATTTTTTATGGTTTATAAATTATACCCGAATTTAAATTTGTGAATACATAAAAAAATATGTATATATATATATATTACTTAAATAAAAAACAATATCTTGTTATATTTTATTTAAACTCTCAATATTAAAAAAGTACACATAACTTTTTTAAGTATTATATATGGTTGTATGATTTGGATTTAATGTTTATATATATAACTTTATTATTCGTTTATTTTTAGGTTTGTAGACTTATTAGGCAGATCCATATTTATAAGTGAAATTCTGTTAACACCAAATATCAAATTTAAACATTTATATTAATTAACAATTTTCTATAGAATACAAATTAATTAATTTAATCATTAATTTAAATAAAATAATTTTATATAAAATAAAATCACATTATTTAATTTTAATGTATAGTATATCTTTTTAATATAAAAAAGTAAAATTTAAAATAATAAACATACAAAATTTCAAATTATATAAAATTTAATGTATATGATCATAAATAAGATATAAAGGGATTCATTAATTAAATTGATTGATTTCACATTACGTATTAACTATGACAAGGTATAAATTTGATACAGATCTTCAATAGAGACTCTTTGTGAATATATAAACTGATAAGAAAACGAAGAATCATATCGATATTAACAAAATCTAATCGTATAGAGCTTTTGGGCTTTATTTAGTTGTACTATAGACCTTTTCTAATTTACAAAACAGCAAAACGTGTGTAACAATATTTCTTTAATCACAATATAGGGTACCTCTTTGAAAATCAAACTCTACTTGCGGAAACGTTTTGTTAATTATATGTAAAGTATCCATTGGAAAGTGGCTATTGGTAAAACCTAAAGGAAGCGTGTACACTGCACCTTTGAAGAGTGGGGATGAAGGATTTTGTTTGTTTTGCACCCTCCAATCCATGAGAGATTGCGGATTGGGAATTGGTCCAAATTAAAATCAGTATGAATGATATTAATTAAGGATATGATCAAAAGTGAAAGAAAACAAGTCCTAATCAAACTCAAAATCAAAATAGATAGCATTAGCCGCACCTTCCTTATTTTTCGTATAGTCAAAAAGTCAAGGACAACAATTTTTTAATCACCAAATTTGTTCGTTCCATCTTCCATGAGTAATAATTTTCTTTCCCTTTGTAGTTTAGGGCGTCACTGTTTGAATCGTTGCATTGATTTTAAGATGTATTATGTAGTAATACGAGAGAAATGTCAATTACTTTTTAACACTTTTTTTAAAATTTTTTTTATTAAATTTTAATTTCAGTACTCATGGTGTTCATAATATTTGTAGTTATGGTTAATTCGAATAATTGGACCATTAACCTTTTGATAACTGGTTTGAACAATCCAAGAAATTGAGAAGGCAAAATATCAGTCAAAAATCGACAACCTGGTCATAAATCGATCGAAAGCAGAAAATACCTGATACGTATAGAATTTTCTGGGAGAACAGTTTGAATTGACAGTTTTGGGAGAATAAGTTGATTTATTTTATTTTTAATTTTAATTTTCATTCTAATTTTTTTCAAAAAAAGTCCACATACAAGATATATTGATATTATTAAATATTTATTTTTTTAAAAGTATATAATACGATTATTTTAAATTTTTATTGATTACACTATATCAATATTAAAAATAAATTTAATTATCATCAGTTTGACTAATTTTTTTTTATCAATTCGACTATCAGCTTGATTTTCAAAAACATTGATTTAAAAAGAATGATATTTTAACTGCGTTCAATATATATTTTTTTCTTAACTGCATTCAATATTTTAATGATATATAACCAATTTTTTTATTGAAAACGATATTTGATATTAATAATACTAAATATTTTAAGTTTAAATAAAATATATTATTTAAAAGAACTGTGAGCAAGATAAAA